GGACAGATGTGTTCAGGGACAGATGTGTTCAGGGACAGATGTGTTCAGGGACAGATGTGTTCAGGACAGATGTGTTCAGGGACAGGTGTGTTCAGGGACAGATGTGTTCAGGACAGATGTGTCCTCCTCACCTCTCTCTGAGCTTTCTTCGCCTGCTTCTCCTCCAGCTTCCTTTGCTTCTTGGCTCCCAGTCTAGCAGCAGGTTGGAGGTTCTGCTCCTCCTCGTCCTCGTCCTCAGGCTCCTCGTCCTCCTCTGGACATGTGGACACATGGAGGACACGTTCAAAGCTCCAGCTCACCTGTGTTGAAGTGTCAGGTGTGCTGTGTACCTGGCTCTGCTCTCTGCAGACGTCTGTTGGCCATCACAGCAGCCAGGTTCCTCCTCCTGCGGGGCATCCCGGCTCCTCGCTCCTCGGGGGCCCGCTGCGGAGCTCCTGCAGCCCGGACAACCTCCCTGTGATGCTCCTCATCAGCTGAAAACACACATGGTTCAGCTCAGCTACAGATAAAATCCACAGCGGCTTCCGTACTTCCGGTCAGGCTGTGAGCTGACGTATAGCTAACAGTTTCCTGACGTTTTCTAACTCAAACCTGTACTGACGGTTCTAAACAACAACACTAACGTGATCACATGATGTAGCTGATAGTTACAAGTTATTACAACGACTTTTATACCGTTTAACAAAGCTTACAGCGGCTAATGAGCCGTTAGCTTCGAGGCTAACTCACCTTCCCGTGTTTTCCTCTGCAGCTTCAGCGCGAACAGGATGAGAACAAGAAGGATGAGAGCAGCTGTTACATACAGAACTATATCCATCCTGTTTCACTTCATAAAGTCTGACGGTTTATAAGTTCAGTGTCACTGTTTGTGTCGGTTCAAAACAACACGGTGTTGTTTTTACAATCACTTCCGGTTCATTCTTCTTCGTGGGTCGTTTCAGGTCGTTAAACGTTCACAAAGCCTTACTGCCCTCAAGTGGCAGAATATATTATAAAACAATATATATATATATATATAT